CCATGCTGACTGCGTCATGGAAAACCACCGAGCTACATGTAGATGCAAGAATGGCTTCATAAGCAAGAACGATGAGTGCGAAGGTGAGCAACATGATTCGTTTCGAAATTGCATTGAATTATTTTAACTCGTTTACCTTTAGACATGAACGAATGTACAATGCGTGTGGCGAAGTGTCACTCTCTGGCCACGTGCATCAACACAATCGGAAGCTACATGTGTCAGTGTCCGGATGGATATTCAGGAGACGGCGTTAGCGAATGTTACCACGACGTAAAGGATAAAATCTACGATGGTATATATCATTTTTTTCATCCATTTTTTTGCCGTCATAATCATCTTGCTCTTTTTCTTCTACTTCTTGTTCCTTTTTGTGTTTTTATATTAACTTTCATATGCATCATCCTCATCTTTTCAATTTTGCAAATTAGTCATTTTATTCTTGTTCCTTTTTTGTTTCTTCATCTTCTCCTTCATTTTAGAGTATTCTTTTTTGCAAGGATTCACAGTTCGAGGCAGCTTCTCGCATTACCTTCATTCCCAGTAAAATCATCGATCATTTCCGTTGTTTCCTGCCGTCTTTCTCATTTTCCTTGTTATTTCTAACATAATCTTTCCATGCTGCTTTAGTCACCAGTTTATGAACGGTTTTACGAATAGAGTGTACATTTGTATCCATATATTAGCATCGATAGCACGCCCTGATCGAAGTCTTGCCGTTTCAAGCGCAGTTGCAGTTTCTTGGATAAGAACGTTTGCATTCTTCCAAAATTGCTCCGTGCCATTTTTAATCTTCTTTTGATTTTCCAAGTTGATTTATAATTTGACAAATCTGCTGTCCTTGTTAACTTTTTGCTAACTCGTGTTTAGCTAAGCTGTTGTTTTTGTCCTGTTTTTTAAGCTTTAGATTCATATTATATCATATCATAACCGTGATTCATATTATATCGTATATTATATCGTATCATAACCGCGGTTTTAGTGCACTGCGAAAAGGATGGAATAACGCTGATATTCACGAAAAAGATGACTGGCAAAATTTACGTAAAGTCGCAGAGCGAAAATCCAAAGTGTAGCATGAACGTTAGTTCCAGTGATCAGCCACCTTATAAATTCAAAGTATTTTACGACTACTGTGACGTGCACAAGGAAGGAAAGGTAGGAGTTTGTGGAGCTAAAATCTCAGTATAAGCCGTTATTTCTCTTAGGACACGCTGGCCGTCGTTGTCATACGTCAACGTCACCCCTATTTCATCACACGCGGTGACAATGCGATTAAGGCAATGTGCACTTATCCTTCTGGAGAGACCGAAATCGAGTCTTCGCTGGAGGTTGCGTAAGTGGACGTAGTCTGAGAATGATATCGATTTTCATTCGATCATTTCAGTCGACTGACCACAGTTGAATCACTTGTGCTAAACACACCTAAGGCGCAGTGCTCTTTGACGATCGTTCATCCGGATTCTTTGCGACCGGCGATCTCAGCCGAAGTCGGCGAAGTCTTGCGACTGCGTATGTCGGTTCTTCCGTCAGGTATACAAATTGTTTTTTGCCGACGGAATGTCTTTTAATATTCAATCATGCCTTAAAGGACTTAACATCTGATTATGATGATCTTTAAAATGTGTGGTTCACACTTACGTCAGTACTACCAATACAGGGCATTACACATGGTTATGCAACACCTTGCATCTTCCGTTTTGTGCTAGACCTCTAATGAGACAATATACACATGTTGCTGCTCTATGAAATTTGAGCATCGATGAGTAGGGTAGTGTCAGGTATGTTTGCACGCCAACTCGAAGTTGTGGCTTAAGCAACACGGATCCTCATGACAGCACAGGTAAAGTTTTCTACCCGAGAGCAAAATTCGACCATTAAGTTGTTTGGTTTCCTCAGTTTATCCCTTATTTAGATCAATACTGCTGTAGAGAATGACCATGCAAAGCATTAGGTAATATTTAATGACGGTAACTTTGACCGTAACAACCGTCATCGTCAGCTAAAAACATGAGACGTAGTGAAAATACGTTCAGATATAATTGGAGGCATTCTGATTTGAAGATTTGGATCACCGAATCTTGTGAACACCTGTGTTACTTCTACTACCACTAGCTACAGAACAAAAAGAATAATTAAAATATAACGTATGAGAATGCTTCTTGTTTTATGGATTACTCCCGGATATTAAATCAGTTAGAACATCAGCTGCCATCCTTTAAGGTATTTTTGGGGTTCAAAGCAACTTAGAGTTAATTTATACCAATAAGTTTTTTTGACAGTAGCTGCGAAAATCCATTGCCCCGCATTTCTTTGCAAACTGCGCCGTTTTGTTATTTCTTGAGTCCTAGCAGGAATTTAGAAAAAAGCTGTGGCTGTATAACATTTGAGTCATTCGGTACGTGAATATGTAGCATCATACGGCGTTCGTTTGAAAAGTAAATAAATAAAATCAAGTAATAAATAAATAAAAATTTAACCGGTAATGGTACAAGCGGAAGTAGAGCCACATAAATGCTTGTTTTACAAGGAAACTCCTTTTAAATTTAAAACATACACAGGCAATTTTTTATTTTGAGAACCCTCTAGCAAAACAATCGATAAACTTAATCATTCTTCCCCAAATTAGTCTTCAGAACGTATATACTGCTTATGCGCTAATCCAGAATAGTTCATGCTGCCTTTCCTGTTCATTTTCTAAGCCTTCTTTCCATTAACGTAATTAATCGTACCATGACGTCGTGTAATTTTTGCTATCTCTTACACAGTGACAGTTGTGCACTTCCAAAGACGGGTGTCAGTTCAACTGCCGGGCAAGAAGTGCCTTCATTTTCTCCTTGCACAAAATTTCAACTACAAAATGTTAAGGATCTTGTTGTTATTGCCCGTAAATATAGAATATCTCAGCTTCTAAATTTTCTGATGATCTGAGAGTCAAATTACTCGGTCAGCGGTCACTCCTAAAAATGTTGGAGGAGTGTCGATTTGCGTCAATGATGCATCCGTAGATGGCAAGTCATATAACGGGTTAGAAAAGAACTTTCGCAACAGCATATGCCGAAACGTATCTATCACATATATCAGACTGGTTCTCTTATTCTCTCGCGGATCAGGATCGAAGGCCATTCTGCTCGCACTCGTTTCGATTCCGGGAATTTCAGCTACAGTGACAGCGTCACTCAGATTCCATCTCTGCTCTGCACATTTTCTCCAGAGTTTACGACCACTATGATGGTTCATTAATATTCAGAATATGCAGTGCTCATTACGAACCTGTTGCGTTTTCACGTCCGTCACCGTCCAGAATCGTTTTGCTTAGGATAACGGCAAATATACAGACGTATCTTTTGGCCTGCTACAGTAGCTTAATTGGAGAAATTCTTCAGCCTTCACATTTTCCTGATGGATTAAGGTGTTCATACAGTCAATCAACCAGTGAGATTTACTTAAGGAAACCCAACGGCACGCGATAAGTGGCAAAAACCTGATTATAGCAAATGAAGAAATACAAAACAGCAGAACAAGCAGTGTAAAAGTAGATCACTTTCAGAAAGCCCAGAGTCTCCCGGAACGATCGAAGCGGTAACAGACGAAGTCTCATAAGCCGCTTCGTTCCTGTGAAGTTCTCAAGTTTCTTGTAAAAGAATGACCTAAGCATTACTGAAAAGCGAAATGGCGAGAAGCACCTTTAGTTCATGAAACTTTGGAAGGATAGCCTTGCGACTGTTGAAAATCATCACAGCTTTTCACGCGTGTTGTTTTCGCAATATTTTGCCATATGCCATTTCTGCCACGTTTCGTCTGTCGAATAATTCCACAGTTTGCCTTAAAACGAAAGTTTGGCATGAAAAAAATCGAAAGTTTGGCGCAATGCGCAAGACATTGAAACTCATTATAGCATGAATATCGCGAGCGACAGATGGTTCAGTTTCACGAGACATTTCGCCACATTTCCAAACCTACCTACTTTTTCACTCGTACTTGTTATCGGCAATGGCGGAATTACACATAGCGTGTGGCCATACTTCTGTTGATACTCACTGTACTCATCGCTGGAGTCATGGTCTGAACAGTACGTCGAAGTAGAGTGGAGAAGGCCAGTGGCAGTCTGGATTACAGTTTTGCTGATTGTTGTTATTCACCAGACAAACATACTAAGAGGCGTGAAGTTTCAATCAGTTTCAATGATGCATTTAATTGACACGATTAACGACTGCCACCAAGCTTATATAACTGTTAAGAACAAGTGCTCTCGATGTATAATCATGCCGATTTAGACATCTACGGTAATTCGGCGAAGAACTGCGTAGCCTTGAATATGAAAACGGGTGAATCTTACAACCTGACAGATGAGCGTGGTTGCTCACTGGACCACGAGCTGTTTGGAGCATGGAAGAAAGTTAACGACTCGGTGATGACCGCAGATTTTACGTCCTTCAAGTGGCCCGACGCTTCCTCATTGCGGATTCAATGCGATTGCACTGTTTGCTTCAACCGTTGTCCAGAGGTACGTTTATTTCTGCGTGCCTGAGATAGGTGCAATCTCGAATTCTCAAAGTAATACGCTGAATTTTATTGCAAGTTAAATATAAATGCGTTTAAATTTGAATTCCATGGTCTTCATGCTTCTTACGACATCGATCTGCATTTAGATTTTATCACAGAATTACCGACGTTTCTACACATTCATGATTCTTTGTCCAGTTACAATGATTAAAGTAAAATTGTCGAGGTCAAACTTGAGACCTCAAGTGGCTGAACAGAAATTGATGTTGGCAGCATTTTATTAATAATTGACGACGTCGTGATGCTCAGGTTCATGCCATTATCCCTTAGAAGCATCTGCTGACATGGTGAACACAGCGTCTTTGTTTTTTATTTGTTTCTTGGAGGCACAGATGGCGTGGCCACCAATCCATGTCCCACTTTTCGACAACAAATTATTACACAACCGCAGTTTCATTTTCGCAATCTCATTTGATTACTAAGAGATCTTTTGTCTGCCTCCTACCTTGTCCTCGTTGTGTATTTGCTTCCTTTGTTTAAATCGACTTTGTTCCGCCACATGAGGTTGCCTTTTTTTTTCTCCTCGATAGGATCACCCGTTTCGCCTATGTAGATTACGACACATTTATAAGTGATCCAGTATGCCGGTCCGCACCGTTTCGCCCTGCGAATTTGGACACCTTAGTTTTGACGTTCGTTAGTCGACTCTGAAGAGTAACTTCAGGTTTGAACACAACTTTCAAGCTGAAACGTAAGACGGTTCATCGCAGTTCTTCGCCCGGTTGCTGTGTAAGGTATACATATTGCTCTACCGGTATATTCACCTCTTTCAGCTTCCTTTCGCAGGTCAAGCTGGCTAATTTGTTGACTTTCGTTACGATGCGTTTTCGATAGCCAGAGTATTTCATACTTTCGTTGTGTAATTCAGGTCTTTCCGATTGCAGATTTCACCAGAACATTTTTTTAAAGTTTATAATTTAAATGTTACATAGCTAATTATTTATGTGGTAAAAATGTTTCGTTGTCGATGTCACAGACGGATAACAGCGTATAGAATCTTGCAATTAAACTGGTATTCCTAGGACAAAGCTAGTTTCTAGGGTTCCAGCCAATTATAATGTAATATCTTAAATACCTCTGAATTAAATATGCAATGCTTCACTTTTTCTCTACCTAATAATTTCGTCGTTGTAACATTTACAAATATGCTGTTGTCGCATTCGGTATATGCTTAAAGACGCTTTTCAGAAAATCCTTCATAATCTGAGTGTCTGTTAATTATTAATGATACCCGCACATGCACATCACGCAAAACAATTGTCAGTATCTGAAGAAAATGCCTCAATGAAGTTTCGTTACTTATGCTATGTAATTTGAAACACCAGGCGTGCTGGAATCTTTGGATTTCAGGAATCTGCCTAAATTAACTGTGGAATGTGTGAATTCATCGGTTTAAGAATTGCTACACAGAACATTGTGTCATGCTGTCTACTTTATAAACGTAGAAAATCACGTTTAGTGTATGGGTTTGGATGTACTTTTAGCCCTGTAGTTTAGGATGTCATAACTTGGATTGGATCCTCTAGCCAGCCCGATTGCCTACCTTTATTTACTGTCATTTTGAATATGAACGTTGAATTCAGAACGCGGTAGAATATACGTATGGCGGAAGGATTTCTGGTGTAACGGACTGGAGCACAAGAATCCAGAATATCATTGCTTCGAAGCACTCCTTAGTAGAGAGACCACAATTGCAACAGTTAAGATACGTGATTAGGGGATAATCACAAATTCGATTCTGTAAGCACTGCTAGATTAAAGATGGTCAAGGGCAAGAAAGAAGACAAACTGGCTTGATTAAACTGAGTTCAAGGCACTGACTGATATCAATTTCAAGAGTGGAGATTGCCTGTTTATGGAGGAAGAGCAGAACCAGTAGAATTACTCTTGAAATTTCACAGAGTCAACCTCAAAAAGGCTTAAAAATGAATTAATGGATCTGGATGGAGGAGCGGTTGAAAACTGTTTTAAAATTTTACAATCACGGGATTACTTCTTCATCTGATCGCCAGATGGTGCTTTGTATATTGCTGAACCTTCGTTGTTAAACAACATCTGAAACGGTTGCAGTCTCGGGATTAATGAGTTTACATGGGCACCTGTACTCAGGCCTCATGGTTTTTAAGCAAATCAGCCCTTGGAGTCATATGCTTATTGATTAAAAATTGCTCATAACAACGATTGACTCCATGCTAATTTTTCAGATTCAGTGCAATAAGAGGTACAAGTCAAAGAGGCACACACCGGCGATTTCGGACGTTGCTGTTCAGCAGTCGCGTAACGTTCATTCAAATGTATTGGTGGTTACCGACAAGTCAGACCTGACAGACGAGTTGCCAACCGACCCGCTGCTATCCACAGGTAAGTACCATTTTTACGTACAATGCGAGCCAGTGAGAGATAACTGCCTGTCAGTCGGTGTTATACCATCATGGTTACAACTTGATTTAAGTATACATCTTCAATGAAACATCTGTGATCACTTATATTCAGTATTTGGTTCGTGCGTTAATGGTCATATTGAAAACAGCCATAAACCACAAAACAGATTTATTTGCATATGGGACAAATAATCTGGTAGGATGAGTGACCAGTGCCGAGGTTCTATCCGTGTGTAATGAACCGTCTTCAAGAAAAATGGACCATTAAGCTGCGGAAGTCTTTCCGGTCATCTGCGGCTGTTCGTAAGTCAGAGGCAAAAGCCAAACTTTTTAAATGGGCTACCTCTTAAGTAGTTTTTTGGCAAAAGA